TAAATTTAATTTATAAAGTTAAAATAAAAAAATATTTATCTCTTTTAAAAATAAAAAATAAAAAAATGATGAAGTAAATTTTGAGAAAAAAAAAAGTACAATTATTTTGGAATAGGAAATAAAAGAATTTGAAAAGTGTGGAGATCAAAGGAGGCGGACTACTGAACTGAAAATAGCTAACAATGAAATTGAGATAATCAAATTGTCACATACCTTTGATGGTTTGATCAATTACTGATGCCTTGGTGGACGTGCCATTGGTGAAGGTGGCGCAAAATTCTGGTTTGCCTTGTCAACAACGATAGTTCGATTCTGTAGTTCCTGGCTAATGCCTGCTACAAGAATAAATAATATCATGGTAGCAAGCATAAAGAGGAAAGAAATAAAGAAAAGTTTGTTTGGAGAGCCATATATATGGTGCAGATCACTGGAGAGATTAAGCACTAGAGAGGGGTATGGATCTGAATTCCTTGCTCGTATAGAGTTAAGATTATATAGAGAAGGAAGGCGTCCGGTCCATGGTGGAATATGCAGTAAACATAATCCGGGGAATTGCCCTCGGTACTAATTAGGGAGTGGTCCTCTCCCGTCTGGATGGAGATTTGTAAGAGTAGACACATCAAGGGATTGCACTCTTCCACGTCTACGTTCTTCCCGTGTCCAATGTTTTGAAATCTAGTCCCCTGGTGGCGTTCCAAATCACACCCGACTGTTTTTTTTTTTTTTTGAACAGCAAAATATTATTTATTAATAATAATAAGCAGAGTACAAGGGGTACCCCAACCCGTTACCTTTACAATTTGAAAGCCATACAGATTGTAACCCTTCCGAATAGTATTGACCCCTAAAATTGGAGCCAGCACCACGTCCGTGTTGGAGAATTGGGTACAGGCAACATAGTGTCGACACCATATCCAGTGTGTCGGCACTGTACCCGTGACGAACTTCCTGCCTTCTTTACAAAAACTCAATCAGGCACAATACAGATCATGAAAAAAACAATTCAGCTATTGCCCCACATTCCCGCACATTCACTGGGCATGCCTTGACTGCCACATAGACCCCCAAAGACCATCATTGCTTCAGGCATACAAACTCCTTCGCTCAGTGATCCACCTCTATTTCGGATGATTTTCTGCTGGCTACCTGTTTGTTTCCTCCCCTTTTGTCTTTCAAACATTCCATAGGTTCCAATATCCAATTGCATAAATTAAAGGAGTACCCTACTGTTCTGTTTTTGATCCATTGGAATGTCTGCAGTTGCACCAACTCAAAAATCCTATTGACATCTTGCTCATGGTTTCTGAAAGCCCTTTCGTTTCTAGCTATCCATATAGACCAGATTGTTGCACTCCAGACTGCATCCCAACCTGCCCTGATGTTTACATTCTTAAATGTGGCTAGTTGTTGTTCAAAAGATGCATAGCAATTGTCAGCTCTAACAGATGAAATTCTCCACCATTGGAGACATTTGGACCACACTGCATATGCAAACTTGCAATGAAGAAATAGATGATTTATATCTTCAATACTCTCATCGCATAACATGCATGTAGCTAGATGGAGATCTGGAACAATCCCTCTCTTGTACAGATTCACCTTAGAGGGTATTCTATCTTGTAGGACTTTCCAAACAAAGGCGCATATTTTTGTGGGGACTAGTCTGCACCAAATTCTTTTATGCAAGTTGATCCTACTCTGTTGGTGGTTGCTGGAGAGAGCTTGATATCCCGATTTAGCTGAATAAATCCCATGATCATGCCTCCACTCCCATTGGTCCTTTTGTCCCTTAATTGGTTGGATATTCTGCAGCATCCTCCACAGCTCTGCCATCGAGTGTTCCTCCCATGAGAAGTTAGGTCTCCTCCATTCTAATGACCAATTCCAGGTTTCATTGTTCCAGAATCCCATTTGAGAAATGCTCTTTGATCTGCCTAAAGAATTCAAAAAGAGTCTGGGAAATTTTTGAGCTAGTGACTCGTCCCCAATCCAGATATCCTCCCAAAATTTGACAGAATTACCCTCTCCCAACTTTAGTTTAAAGTCATCTAAAAGCCAGCCAACTGTACTTGTGCACGAATAGTCTAATCTACAGACGTCCCTCCACCATAAGGACCCCTTCTGGTTGTCCTCTTCAATCCAGTTCAACCAATTACTTCCACTACTACCATATTTCTCCCGAATAATCCGGTATAGAAGACCTTCCTCTCCCTCCGCCAGTCTACTCCACCACTTACCTAGCAATGCTAAATTAAACTTCCTAAGATCCTTCACACCTAGCCCACCATCCAATTTACTTCTGCAAACCTTTTCCCAACAAACCCAATTGATCTTCCTATTATTCGCTCCACCTCCCCCAAGGAAATTTCTACGTATTTTGTCGAGTAAAAGGATCAAACCTTTAGGCAGCATGTGGACAGACATCGTGAACACAGGAAGGCTAGACAGCACGGAGTTAAGGAGCGTGATCCTTCCACCAAGAGAGATATATCTATTTTTCCAGCTGGCAAGTTTCTTGTTAAAGGACTCAATCATGGGTCTCCACATGGCAATACCTCTGCGTTTGCCCCCAATTGGCATCCCTAGGTATTTACAAGGTAATTTCCCTTGTTTGCAATTCAAAGTACAGGCCATCCTAGTCATCCACTCATCCGAAACATTGATGCCCATAAGCACACTTTTTCCAAAGTTAATCTTAAGCCCAGAAACCATCTCAAAAATCCTCATAATACTTTTAACAGCCCAAATGTTTTCTTCCGAAGCAGTACCAAACACAATGGTGTCATCAGCAAACTGGAGATGGGTTACATTCATGCCACACTGCCCAATTTCAATCCCATTAAACAACCCCAATGACGCAGCTGATGAGATGATGCCATTAAGACCTTCAGCCACAATCAAAAATAAGAAAGGGGAGAGAGGATCACCTTGTCTGAGCCCTCTTTGCATCTTAAACTGCCTGGTGGTGCTGCCATTTAGTAGTACTGATACTTCTGCTGTCTTCAAACATTCATTAATCCAGTTTTTCCATTTTTGACCAAACCCCAATCTAAGCATCATATAATCCAGGAATTCCCAGCAGACTTTGTCATAAGTTTTTTCAAAATCAGCTTTAAACACAAACCCTTTCTTCTTCCTTTTCTGGGCTTCATCAATAATCTCATTTGCGATGACCACACTGTCAGCTAATTGCCTTCCACCAACGAAAGCCATCTGATTCTCCCCAATAATCCCATTCAAAACAGAAGACAACCTACGTGCTAACAATTTCGCAATTAGTTTGTACATGACACCAACTAGGGAGATTGGTCTGAATTCTTCTATTTTTTGTGGGCTGTTGACTTTCGGGATTAATACAATGAAGGAGCTGTTCACCCCTCTAACCAGTTTGCCATGCTTGTGAAAATCAGATACATATCCCATTACATCTTCCTTAAGTGTTCCCCACATCTCCTTTACAAATTTGAAGTTGAATCCATCCGGTCCTGGTGCTTTCGTGCTCTCACAACTCCACACAGCTTGTCTAACTTCCTCCTCGCTAAACGGTGCTTCCAACATCGCCTTCTCCTCATCTGGGATCTTCTTGAATTCAATCCCATCTAAGACTGGGCGTTGCCACACATCTTCTTTAAACAGTGTCTCAAAATAGTTAGCCACACCATCTTTCATACTGTTGACATCTTCAAGTCGTTGATTCCCCACCAGGATACTTGAAATATCATTTTTTCTTCTTCTTCCTTTCACACATCTATGAAAAAATTTTGAATTGGCATCCCCCTCACTAATCCATGTCTTTCTAGCTTTTTGGCGCCACATACTTTCCTTCATCCTTTGATTTTTCCATAGCTCCAAGAAATTTGTCCTTCTGGCCTCAATATCTTCTGGCAACAGTGGCATCTCCTCACTTTTTTTGTCAATAGCTGCAATAAGATCAATGCTCTTTTGTATGCCCAAATCAATCTCAAAGGTCATATTCTTGCTCCACACTTTTAGCACCTTCTTAGTTTCCTTCAATTTCTCCTTCAGACGATTCTAATTTAACTTGTAAAAGGTAAATTAGAATTAAGTAGTATTGAACCGTAATATGTTCTTGAATCAACTTGAATGGATCACAGGTCAATATAGATTAACATGTGGATTTACAAGTTAACTCATTTTGATTCATTCATTTTTAAAATTTTAAGAAATATATTTTTAAAAAATAATTTTTAAAGCAAAAAAAATTAATAAATATAATTTAAAAGAAATTTAATATGATGATGACTATTACAATTTATAAAATTTTTCAAATGGAGTGGATTACATTCATTTAAAATTTGTAAATCAAGTATTATATATTATATATGATTACTAGTAAAGAAAACAAAAAAACTTAAATAAATCATTCAGAATATATTTCACAAAAAATAACATTTTACTTAAACTAATCAGATAAGGAGAATCAAAATTATTGAAAATAATCATATCAAGGTTATTATAATTTAATTTTAATAAATTAATATTGAAAATGTGATTAATTATATAAAAATAAAAGAATTCGACCTACAAATTAACATGTGACTCATTAGAGTCAAATTAAGGTCAATACTTATTATATATTATATATTACTAAATATTATATATTGATAATAATTAATACATTTTTTAATTTAATATATTTTATAATATATTTGTTAAAAAATTATTATTTTAAATTTAAAATAAAAATTATTTCATTTATAAAATTTAATAAGTGAACTAATAAATATTACTAAATTTATTAAATTAAAAAATATACTAATTATTATTTTATTTCATATGCTCTTAGTCTTGATGCATAGAAAATTGTCGAAGCCCTGGTTAATCCATGCCAAAACGTCAATTTCACTGTATACATAATCGCTAATGGGTCAACTATGAACATCTCTAGATTTCATGATAGATTAATAGGTGCGTTGCCTATTTTCAAAAAAATAATAAATAGATTCATAGATGCAAAAAATCGGATAGTGGGTCCAACCGTCTAATAATTGGTAACCTCAGCCAGGGAATAAAGCCGGAAAGGGATTTGCATATCTTTGAAATTAGAGCAATGCTAGGGGCACTCGCCTCCTGCACTCTCCGGCCAACACTTTCTCTTTTATTGGGCCACGTTATTTTGGTTTCCGAGAGTTTGGCCGAAAGCTTTTGCAGAAGCTTCCGTGGCCTAATGAAGGGGGAAGTGCTGGCCGGAGAGTGCAAAAAGCAAGTGCCCCTAGCAATGCTCCTTGAAATTAATATACGCTGTTTGGTTTGTCTCGGGTGACACTAAACCAGTTCACACAATGGAAAGCATATTATATATTGGAGAGTGGGTCTAACCGTCTAATTAGTAATCTCAGCCAAGCAAGACTTTTCTTTCTCCTTCGTCAACGCTTATCCAGAATGGAATATCACAGAAAAATTTTCAACTATATTGGTCCTTTGAACACTACACAACGGTTTTTTTTCCTTTTTTTTAACAAGTACAATTTTTGGGTAGTAGGAATGGTTTGGACCCAGTTTTTAAAGCTGATAGGCACACTTTTTATCAAACGACTTATAAGGTTAGATGCCCAAAAATGTTACATGCTAAACTTAAAAGGAATGAAGGAAGCAAATTTAAACTACGAAATTTTTGGATGTTTACACACAAATACGAAGTAGTTGTTTTATCATATATAAAATCAATGAAATTCATTGGTAGTAAAAGTAAATATTACATCAATATATTGTTGAACTATAAAATTCACAAGTGAGTGAAATTGAGTAATGTGTAAAAATCTTCACATCGAAAAGAAATAAAGTGTCGAGATGCAATATATATATAAAGACCCATAAACTTGATAGATTTATCTTTGGGTTTAATATGATATCTTCTCACATATGTTCGTGCATTTTTACCTATACATTTCTAAACTAACCTTTTAAAGTCTCTTAATGACTCTTCCAACAAGTGGTATTAGAGTTGATAGTTTGATCCTTGTGCCATCCTTGTTCAACGATAAGTTCGGTCAATCATGGCAATACTGATCTCATGACAAAACTTGAAGAAGTGATATGTTCAATAGTAGAAGATGAATGAAGTCTTTAGGAGGATAGACAATGTGATATGTCTTTTAAATTTAATATGACATCTCCTCATATATGTTAATGCATCTTTATTTGTGTTCTCAGGTCGGTTCATTAGACTTTTCTACTAAATGTAAGCACTAATAACAAATAATTTTGCCCATAACATGTATGCGGGAAGAAGCAAGAAAGAGCGAGGTTCAAAAGTGGGAGGAGCTGGGGAGAGAGGGAGGGTAGCTAGATTTTATAAGAGGTTTAACTGAGATGCACGTTTTATTCATTTCTAATAGATGGAAACAAAGGCAGAAGGCAATGTCATTCCATTTTGTCGTGGTCAGGAAAATGATGTTCAAGGAATAAAGCCGAAAAGGGGTTTGCATATGTTGAAATTAATATTCACTGTTTGGTTTGTTATGCGTGACACTCAACCAGGTCCACTCAATAGAAAGTATATTATATACTGGAGAGTGGGTCTAACCGTGTAATCTCAGCCAAGCAAAGATTTTTCTTTCTCTTTGGCCCCGCATATCCAGAATCAGTTGGATAAAAACAGGCCAGAAATAAAGGTAGAGTCAAATTTGCTCCTTTTTCCTTCACTAACTAGAGATTAAATTCGATGGAATGCATCGAGACATTGTGAGTCATTTTTTGAACCACCTATTCTATATCTCTCATTTTTCAGATTCATCCCTACACATCCTATTGTTTCAGTATTTAAAATATCAATAACTCTTATCTGTTAGGACTTCGATTTCTGCTTAGAGATTGCATTTCTTTGTAAGAAGCAAAGTCATTGTACAAATGAATTTTGTAATATAAAATGAATCATAGACAATGAAAGATTGTTTAAATTTAATGTCATATGATAGATCCATAGGAATATAATGTCATACATTTCATTTCCAGAGCGTTGAGATGAAGATGTAGAGTAGATCCCATCAGCATCAAAGGCCATACTGATTGTCCATCGAGTGGGGACAAGTGTCGAGGACCCATTAATTCAATTCAATCTCGATTTTTCTTTAATAGATTTTCTAAGTTAATTTTCGCATCACATTAAACTTCAAAATTTTTAAATTTTCCTTTAAAACTCTTTGAATAGTGGTTTAATAATTAAAAATTAAAGATTTTAAATTGAAAATTTTAAATTTGAATTCAAGTGAAGAGAAAATTGAGAAAAGAAGAGAATTATCTCTTTTTATAGAACATGTTATCATTATATATATAAAATAATCATTTAAAACATAGAAATTTGTGAAAAACTAATATTTAGAAAAATCAAGATTTTTCTCCTTCAATATTTACATATTTCAAGACTAATTTTTATCTAAATAATTTTAAAGGTACAGTACAATCATTAATTCAAATAACAGGAAATTTTTTTTACAACCAAATGAACAATCAAATAACACTATAAATTATCGACAGGCAATATCATTTGAGAGAAAATTAGGAGCAGGAACCTTTTTTCTTTTTCTGTGCCTTTCTTAGTTCTTTATTAGAGAAAATTAAAACAGGAGCAGACCCAAAGCCAAATAAAGCAGAAGAAATTAAACCGCAGTGCAATTGAGATCCAGCATGAAAATGAATTTAGAAATTATAACCTCTCATAAGAAAATAAAAAAAATGCCACAGGCGTGACAGGCCTTTAGTTTGTTGCAATTAAGCCGGGAACATGGAGGTGATGCAAATAGAGAGAATATCATTATTGATAGCCTGATCGGAATGTTGACATATAGTTACATTATAGCATGTCACACACAAACACACACTAGCACATCAAAGAAAGAAGAAGAAGAAGAAGAAACGCCCTGACATATCTTGAGACCTCAAAACAAGCACAATTTTAAAATACAAACTATTTCAGGCTCGACTGATACCAAGACATCCATTAAAGCTCCTGCAAAAATCAATTTCAAAAAATCAATGAATGAGATATAGTCCTCCATCTTAAAATAATTATTGTTATATGATTGCTTTTTCGCATTAAAAATTTGAGAATAAATTATAGATTAAAAAAAGAATATAAAAAGAAAATGAGAAAATTTTAAGTGATAGGGTAGATAATTAAAATTTAAATATAATAATAAAGTTAAAATAAAAAAATATTTATCTCTTTTTTAAAATTAAAAAAAAAAAGATATGATAAATTTTGACTGAAAAAAGTATAGTTATTTTGGAATAGAAAATAAAAGAATTTGAAGAATATGGAGATGAAAGGAGCCGTAACTACTAAACAGAAAATAGCTAGCAATGAGACTGAGATTATCAGATCATCACATACCTGCTTTGATTACTGATGAGTGGGTGGATTGGCCACTGGAGAAGGAGGCGTAAAATTCAGAGGGTTTGCCTTATCAGCAACGGTAGTCTGATCATAATTTTGTGGTTCTTGGTTAACGGCTACTGCGAGAATAGATAATATCATGGTAGCAACTATAAAGAGGAAAGAAATGAAGAAATGTTTGTTTGGAGGCGCCATTTATATGGTGCGAAACTGGAGATTAAGAACTAACGATAGGATGAAGATGGGAGAATGGAGAGAGATATTCTGATATCCTTGCTTCAGAGGAACTTACTAGTTTCTTATATAGAAGAAAGGTCGCGTTCACATCTGATTATAGATGTAGAAGTCCTGGGCCAAACTTAGCGTCATTGTAACGCTTAATAATTCTTAGGTAACGTTTCGTTATGGAAGAAAACTAGCCTTTACTTTTAGATTTTTTCAGATCAATTCGGTACTTTTATATTAAAAAGAGTGTTTTATAGAGTTGATTATAGTTATACAGTAAAAATATAATTTATTTTTATAAATTTATTAAATAATTTTAAGAAAATTATATTTTATATTATTTTATTAAAAATATTTTGATAAATTCATAAAAAAATTACATTTTTAACGTACAATTTAAATTATAATATATGAATTTATTTTTATAAATTTATTAAATATTTTAATAATATTTTAATAAAATAATTAAAATTTTTAAAATATTTTGATAAATTCATAAAAAAATTACATTTTTAACGTACAATTTAAATTATAATATATGAATTTATTTTTATAAGTTAATATTATATAATAAAATAACGGTACAGTTGGTATTTTAAGTAAATATTTTTTAGACACAATTTTTAATAAGAAAACACCGTGTAGTACCTTGTCAAAAGAAAAGAGTTTTTCCTCTCCCAGAATCCACTTGGCCATATTCACTAACTTTCTCAATTTTTTTTATTAAA